ATAACCACTAAGGCATTATCCTAATTTTCCATTTTTCTCAACAACAATATTCGTGAACACCAGCAGGATCCTTTCAAAAACGATACAGAATTAAATTTTTCATCTGTAGATAAAGCTTTGGAGCATCTCAGATGAATCAATTTATCAGGAATAGTGAAAAAGTGTTCCGCTTCCAATGTCTCACGGCAGAAATTTCTGCTCACAACACTCTTTTTGAAGTTCTCTTATTCACCGCCAGAGGCTGAATCGATCACTTAGTTTCTATTAAAAAGGCGTATAGGCTGTCTTGCAATGAGCACTCATACATAGGATTTCCTGTGAAAAGTAGATGTATGAGTGCTCATTGCAAGACAGCCTACATTACATGATATAAGCCATAGTCTGTACGGGGTATTAGACTTGGATTTGTATAAATGAACTTAAGTTTCCTTCGACCTCATCGCTGGTTTTCAAGGTGATCACACCGTAGTCCACCTCGCTAGTGTACTTGCCAGCTAGCACATGCCCTGCTTACATTATGCTGGCTACTTTTTGCACAGTGCTATGCTAGTACACTAGCGCTACACACTTAGAAAAAATCATGTAAATTTGGGTGCTCTGAGACTGACATATACGACCTTAAATTGAGTCATAACAGACGCGAAATTCAACTCAATCAAATTTAGTTTTCGTCGAGAAACAAACTTTTCAGTCTCGGAGCACTTAATTTTACATGAAATATTTGTCTACGTCTGATCCTTTATGTCAAAGTAGGATTCCGATTAAAATTCTTCCCACCTTTTAGAAGATAAACATGAATTTAGTATATGTATTGGTATCCTTGTTGATTGTTTCATTGTAGCATATTAAACTCCCAGTAGAATGGATTAAACCCTATAAATACAACTTACAGTTGTGTTAGTGAGAGAGAGAAGGATTAGTAACTTCCATTTAATTCCACAACCTTATTTGCTTATCCTTGACAGATACGCGTATTTCGTCTACAATGTGCAGACTTTTTCAGTATCTTGTACTAAGGGGTCGTCCATTAATTATGTCACACACTTAGGGGGGAGGGGGGGGTTTTGAAAACTGTGACGAGCCATAGAAAAAAATTAAGGTTCATACAAAAAATGTGACAAAGGAGGGAGGGGGGTTGAAAATGAGCCAAATATGCGTGACATAATTAATGGACCATCCCTAATACTCGACTGAGGTGAGGTGAGGATGGGACGGTACTAATGGATATTATTTGTCGCTATTGAAAATTTAATCGCTGCTGAATTTACGTATGCCCGAAAAACATAAGTATAATAAAAGAACGAAATTACAATGATTTTTACTGTTGAATTTTGAGTACATTAAAATTTATTGTTAAATTATTGTACGGGAGAGAAAATAGATTTCGATTTTTAACGATACAATGCTCAAACAACGAAAATTAGTGTGATAAGATCAAATTTGTTCGAGAAAAATCACTTTTTTATGTTTTTAAGATGCTCTTTTTACTGTTAATTTCTCAAATACCATGATTTTCTTTGTTGTGAACAATGAATTTCGTTGTGATTTTATAGTAAAGGACAAAAATGTCCAATGTTTTGACAGTAAATATCATGGTTACAATGACAATGAAAATCATTGTATTTTTATTGGATTTTTTTTTACGGGTGGGCCCAAATTAGGGGCCTTTAGGCTGACATTACATCTATTTCCCCTAGTAGATTTTTAACAATGGGCCCAATCTTAGATCCATAGGCCAACATTAGAGCCATTTCCCCTATTGGCCGTCATTTGCATCAAAATCTCAAAAATGAAAATTTTCGCCATGTGAAACCGACTATGTATCGTGAGATATTCACCCCTATTCTTGTTTTCGTTCGAACCATACAAAAAAATGGATTCTGTGAATCTCTTTGTCTCCAGCCGATTGAAAACGAATCTACTCAGAGAGTGAGTCACTTTTACTCATTCGTATGGAGATATTTCTAAAAGCACTAACTCAAAGATAAATTAAATCAAAAAAGCTTAAAAAGTATGCAGATTTCCGCTTCGGCAGTAGTCATGCATGATTAAATTCGAAATAATCTTTCTTTTTTTTTTTCTTTTTTTATCCCCATAGGATTGCAATGATCGGGGTTGATGAGAAAATGTTTCAAGTGACTACGATGCCGGACGGATTAGTCTATGGTGACCAATTAAACACCGGATTCACGATATTGATTAATCATAATCTTCTTGAAAATCTTTATGTTTCGGTAATCGTTGGTCTGTCTTTGTCTATGTCTTCTTCTCATTCGTACGTCAATTTTAATGTCTGGATGTTTTCTTGTCTAATGTCATGATGTGTTTGTGTATCTGTTTGTGTGGATATGTGTTTGTGTGTTTGCACCAAATGATTATATTTCTTCCTCATCTCCTAGTTTTAACTGCGTTCAAGAATAATTAACAAAAAAAAAAAAAAAATAAATAAAAAAAAAGCAAACAAACAAAAAACGTTGCAGAAGTCGATACCATAACATATCTAACTTACTATCCACATTTTTTGACTAATACCTAAATATAATTTTTAATTTTATGACGATAAGTTGCTCTACTACTACTGCTAAAATCTGACTACTAAAATCTCAAAAAGATATCCTCACAAATGTATTTCACTCAACCAGGAATCTGAAAACCATTTGACGCTATAATAATACCTTGCACATGCTAGACACAAGAAGAGGCCAAAAGGCAAGCGTCCGACACACAAAACCCATCAAATCAACCCACAATCAACGATTCTACGAATCGCGAGCGCTCACGAATCATAAAACCGCCGACTGCGACACTCTGAAGGCGAAATTGACGGCTCTATGCGTCAAACACCGGCCCTCCAATCTACTCCCGCATCCAACACACACAAATCCCCATTACATCATCTAACGAATTCAAAACTCTGAAAATCACTCATCTATAGCAAGTGAGTGGAAGAAACCCTGCATGCAACCATTCTTCATGATACACTTTTTCTGCCTATCTTTCTATTAAGCCTGTGGACATGGTTAGCTTCGAAACTTCTTACCAAACTGGGAAATCTATCAGATCACAAAAACTTGAAAAATCTTTCAAAGGTATTATTGATTATTTTACACAAAAACCAGCAAGTAATATTAAATCTTTTGTATCGTATGCTAATGCCAATTGACTGTAACAAAACTAATATGCTAAAATAAAATAAATTTTAATAAAATTATATGCAAAAATTACTAGAAGATCATTACTTTATTGGTGAGAAGTTTCTAATAAGCCCTCCCAGTTCCTCTGTATACAGAACAAATCTGATACTATAATCAGAATTGCTCAGTCTGCATGAAGCAGCCGATTTCATCAAGGAAGTTCTATTAACAACCAAGAATTAATCGTTTGAGGTATACTGAAGCATTAGAAGGTGATATGTGTCACTATAGGAAATCATCATCGTTGCAAATATAAAGAAATCAAACATAACCCTTTGCTTCAGTGCCGTCAACCTCCATGTCGATGGGGAGGGGATTAAATTCGAAATAATCTTTCCAGTATTAAATTTTATTAATTTTGAATATTAATATACAATCCAAAAATATTAAAATTCAATCAAAACCTTATTAATATAGAATCAAAAATGATTAAAATTTATTCAAAAAATCTAATTTTCAATCTAATCAACCATGATTAAACTGGGTTTAATATCAGATGATTATTTTTTAGAAAGAGAATATTAATTTTTAATCCTTCGATATGATTAAACCATAGAGGTAACTCTAAGACCACTGGGTCCCGAAGAAAATCATTATTATTTTTGGCTCACTCAGTACCAGAACAACGGTCCCAAGCAGTCCCAAGCTATTTCACTCACCCCTGCATGTTCTGCATGAATCCACACACCCCTGATGTTATCTGTCAAACTTTCATAGCGAATCAAAACAAACATAGTGTAGTAATAGAATTTCAACTAGAATAGGGTACGTTAATCGTTTGCTTGGGACCAATAGGCTACTAAAGTGGTGAGCCAATTTAAAATCGTTAGTTTCGTATTGATTGTTGATTAAACTGAGTTTAATGTCAAATTGATTTAATTTCAAGCAAAATGGGAATAGTTTATTTTATCAGTGCTGAGAGTGACCTACGCTTTTTAGAAATTACTCCATGCGAATGATTAAACATTACTCACTCTGAGTTAATTTCGTTTTCAGTATACAACGCAACTAACAGCCCTCAAAAAATTCCACACGTTTGATGGATGTGTTTAAACACTTGATTTTTCAAATGCACAATCACATTTACTTTAAGTGTATTTCACCTTACTTCAATGTGTTATACACGGTAATTTCTAGTGTTTCAAACTTTGAAATATTGAAAATCTTTCACTATCGATTCAAGTGTATTGCATATTGAATCACACTACTGTTCTAAACAGGTGGATTTAAAGTGTTTTGCATTTCAATACGATGTGAAATGCTTGCTCAGAAAGGTAAACATCGACAACAAGAGTTATGACTTTATCCTATCAACTCGCTTCATATATGAGAACAACCGTGGCACAGTGGGGTCGAACGAAGAATCCGGCAGCAGCACACCCCAACGGTCCATGATCGAATCCCTAATCAGTCAGACGCATTAAAAAGATATGTGAAAGCTCTGGCCTCTGGCAGGTTTGTTTATATATTTCTTGATTCATTTTTAGAGTCGGCAAAGTAGAAGTCGATAAAGTAGAATATTGTAGAACATTGAACTATGATGTGCAAAGCTATTGATTTAATCATGTGAGGCACATAGACTCCAAGTGTGTCACGATTCAAATCCATTTGTTCAGGCATGATTCATAGCATAAGATTCACACATGAAATGGATGTGTTTCACAATAAGCGCAAAATTAAGTGTGAGACACATGATGATGAAGTGTAGAATTTTTTGAGTGTAGCACTCGGCAGGCAAACGATGGCTGCAGACAAATGTTTATTTCAATTTTAATTTTATTCATGAATGTTATATGTTATAAGCGTTCAAACCTGACACCCCAATAAAATAGTCCACAAAGTCGTAGGCTTAGATCAAAATCAAAAGTAACCGTCAAATACTATTGCAGATTTGAAAACTGTGATACATTTCCTATAATAATTGATCAAGTGTTTATAATTTGACTAGCCCGCATAGCACTTTCCAAATCTGTGAATTTTAACTAAATGATACACCATTTATTCAATTTCATATTTATTAACGATAACTTTTATGTATCGTTTACAATAAGCTGACCTTTGATTTGTCAGTATTGCTGTGCCCTGATGTTTAATATATGTTCCGTACATTTACTACTGCTGGATCAAACTTCTATTGCTCTTCTGGACAGTTTTAACATTTTTAACTCTATGTAGCTAAGGATCTTACTTAGCATTTGACTCCCTACGGTCACTTAACAGATTAATAGCTAAAAAAAAATTATTCATTTTCAAACTGCTTTTCAGAACGGAGAATTTTGTGTTTTTTCATTACGATTACTAAAAAAACATAATAGCCGCTGAAAGAAATTGACTAGCCATTGGAATTCAGTTTGGATACTTAACTACTGATAATCAAAAGGAAAATGTTTGATAACTTGACGTTTACATTCAACCTGTTGTGTAAACATACTCCATCTAACAGTTAGTAACGTGACATTAACGTTCCTCGTTCAGCTCACAATGGTTCCTGATTTTTCCCAGACGTTGGCGCTCGGCTTCCTTGAACGCTTTCTTCTGAGACGGTGTCATTCCGATGTTTTTACGAATGACATTCGTTCGCGAAGCATTTGCTCTAGGATTATAAGCCCGCACTGAAGGACCCTGTGGAATCACATAAATGGAGTTTCATTTTCTCTCAATTTTTAACAATACAAAACCATGCTGATGTCTTACCGCATCCCATAAATCTTCATCTTCCACTTCATTCTCAAAGACTTTCCCAACTGGGACTGCAACCTTCACCGAAGATGCTTCTTCCTGCGCAAAGGTGGCTGCTGAAGTAGCAACCGTTAGCTTGTATCGAACTAACGATTCCCGGTCCGGGCATACTTTTACATGATTCTAGGTAAACAAAAAACTTCTGATCAAAATTCTCACCAGAAAAAGAACCTGAGGTTTAGAAGAATGATGGTGAGCGGTTTTAGACTATGACTGCCTTGCTTGAGTCGAGGATCTAAATACTATAAATGAATTGGAGCTAGGTATGTAGCAAAAAAAAAACAGAATCTATTCCAATACTATGTTCCACAGCCACATCGACCCGAAGTCAAAACTGCCCCACTTAAATTTTGTTACTTACCGGCAGCTCCTGTTCCGGAAAATCGTGCGTTTCGTTAAAAGGGCACTGCACGTACTTCAAGTTCTTGTAATTTTTACGGCATTTGTATAGATGCGATTGCATCCGACTTGACATTATTTGGTGAGCCCTGTTATAAGGACATTCCACCATGTCTTCATACCCCGGAAGGGCCGAACTGTTCAGCCTACAAAACCAGAGAGAAAAATGTCAGGTTAGATTCAACCGTATGGAAAATTTGTTTAAAAAAGAAAAAAATGACTTAACAGAAAAAAAGTTATTAATAGTAAACTTACATGAATATTTGAGAATCCATTTCGATGGTTTCTTCGGATCAATTTAGAAACGTGGAATTTATTATTCAAAAAAACCAGAATCAGGGATCGAAAGCGATTGCAGCGAGTTACTTACCTTACTTGCAAAGGCAAGGCAAGGTTCAAACAAAAGGCAGCTTGCTGTTGTTAGAAGCAAAATACGTCCCTCTACACTGAAAATAATCGGCAACTTATAAGTTATATAGTTACGTGAAAAAGCACGTACACTCAAAGGATTTTCAAATCTAAATAGATTAAAAGTTATGCTAAATCACAACTCCCCTAATAAAAATTGTATGGTTAATTTGCTTAACGACGTGTTCTGGTTATCATCCAAACCATTTGTGGAATAGTTCAATGATTTGGGTTATCGTTCGTTTATGGTTATTTTTTATTAGGGTCTCCTTACCGACGCATAGCTTGGTATAAAGAGAGAGAATACTAACCGTATGGAGATACCTTTTTATTTTACACTTCAGTATTTTTCGCTTCATCGATTTTGTGGCGACGGCCGTTCGGTTCCCTCCAGTATGATCGCAGATGGCGGATGTCGATAGAAGTCCAAAAATACCTGATAATAATTAAACATTTTGAATCAGACTCCCCTAATAAAAATTGTAAGGTTAATTTGCTTAACGACGTGTTCTGGGTATCATCCAAACCATTTGTGGAATAGTTCAATGATTTGGGTTATCGTTCGTTTATGGTTATTTTTTATTAGGGTCACCACCGTACCACAGAATATTCTCACCTTTCTCGATTCCCTCACCGAAACTTATTTTTGTTCTTGATATCCCCATGATCAGCGGCAAAAGCATGGAATCCCACAGCGACAGTGATTCACTCCAAAGCAATGATGAATGACTAATGTTCTGCAAAATACTCGTACCTAATACCTTTGATGATCTTTTGCTGTGGATATTCAAACATCAGCATCTAAAATTATGGTGCTGCATTAAATTAATGTTTTATAAACACCTACTGCAGTTTTTTTTTTTTTTACTTGGTCAGATGGCAAACAATACTTGTTTGAGGCGGTTTATGTCGATTATTGACAAGAGCTAAACAGAGAACCGAATTTTTATGCATAATCATGAGCTATGACATGTTAATCATATTCATGCATAAAAACAAACCTGGAATAGATTACTTCTTAATCAAAGCTATGAATAAACCTCGGAATAAACAAAGCTAAATAAAATAAAGATTAAATTTTAATCTATTTTAGAATAGTAATATTTTTGAGTGTAGAGTATCCCATTTTATAGTACGTTCAGACTACAGAGTTATAACATGTTATAGCGCTATCTTGATGGTGGTATCTGTGTTGCAATTATTTGACAACCGTTATAACATGTTATAACTGCTCAGTCTGGCCAGCGTTTTAGTTTGCCGTAAATTTTACACGAACCACACGCTTATTCTGGTCAACTCAAAATTGAGTCGAATGTACTCATCTCAGTGGCAAGTATGGCTACTCAAAATTGAGTAGTCTTATGTTGACTCACTTTTGAGTAAACTTCGTTCTCACGTACACTGGGTCGTATGAATAAAAAGAGTTTACTTTACTTTCCCGTGCTTTTCTTACGGGGAATGTAAAGTAAACGCTTTTATTCATACGACCTACTGAGGCAAATAGACTTAAGAATTTCATAACACTCGACTAACACACAAAAATATTACAAAACGAATATAGATTAAATTGTATACATTTTATGGTTTTTCAAAATTTATACATTGGTAAGATTAAAATTTTCGTCAAAATTATACTAAGTCCGAATAACGGAGTGGAATTCGATCAGTGTTTACTAAAATGATAGGAAAAAGAACATCTGGGTTCTCTTCGGAGCTTCGTGCTGGTGAAGAGCTTCATCCCGGCGGATTACTACTGCGCCTGTGATCTGCTGGGCAGCTAGCATGCGTGAGCACGAGTTCATCAAAATGAACATCGAAATTGTAAATATTTTTTAAATAATATTCATAAAAATAAAATTATTAAAAACCCCTCCTGAGACAATTTTAATTTTAATTTGAAAACAACAATATTTACCATAAATAAAATAAAAAAGCGAAACATAGATTCTCTCGAATAAGCCGTATCTATTAATTGTAAGTATATTTCGATTTTATACTATGGCACGCATAAACCATTTTTATACTAAGTTTGCATTCTCTCGCTTTATACCGACCTTTGCGTCGGTACGGAGAGTTGCGATTTAGCGTAACTTTTATACTATTTAGATTTCAATATTTTTTGAGTGTATGAACCACAAATATGAATTTCATAAGCGCAACTTACACGGTAACCAGCGTAAACACATAAATGAGTAATTTTTTTTAGATTTATATGCAGCTGTCAAAAAATGTGTAAATTTGGAGATCCTAAAATGTGTTAAAAAAATACACATTTTAAGAATGTAATGCCGGTCAAAAAATGTGTATTTTTATACTCATTAATGGGTAAAAAAACTTCAACCTTTGCTGCATTTGTTGACGCACGCCATTTGCTAAATTTTCAGTGAAGAACAGTACCCGCATAAACGCGAACCATCACTTGATCTTACCGATAATGTTTATAAATTATTTATAATCCCTCCTAAACTTTAACTGAAATGGTTATGGAACTTTACATGAACGTTTGTGTGATAAAGTTTCAAGCTTATGTATTATGGTTTTTTGGAAGCAGACCTTACAAATAATGGGTTGTTAAGAACCATTACCATTCCAAATTCTTGTTTTCTCCATACATTTTCAGAAAGAGAACTATATAAGAACGTTTTTACTTATGATTTGAGAACATTAATGGTAATGGTTATGGTAGTCAGTAAGGTCCATTAATGGTTTTGTATTATCGCTCAACTTTACGTGGAATATATCGTGAATTGGTAATCAGTAAATTACAGGCAACCAATTCGCGATATATTCCACATAAAGTTGATCGATGTTACAAAACCATTCGTGGACCTTACTGACTACCATAACCATTACCATTAAAGTTCTCAAACCATAAGTTAAAAGGTTCTAATATAGTTCTCTTTCCGAAAATGTATGGAGAAAACAAAAATTTGGAACGGTAATGGTTCTTAACAACCCATTATTTGTAAGGTCCAGTTCAAAAAACCATAATACATAAGGTTGGAACTTTATCATTAAACGTTCATGTAAAGTTCCATAACCATTTCAGTTAAAGTTTAGCGGGGATTATAAACAATTTTTAATCATTTTAGGTAAGGTCAATTTATGGTTCGCGTTTATGCGGGTAGGTGTTTAAGTGTTTTTCTTCCCTTGATTTGTTTTCTGTGCTGTGTGTGTGTGTGTGTGTGTACAATCTAACCCCCACTGTCCGGCAGTGTTATTATGGAAGAAAACTGCTTTTTATTACCCTTAAATTAAAGCAGGTTTAGTCCGGGAGTTAGAAGGTGTTACAAGGGGTAAGTCACTCAGCACATTGTGTCGAAATTATATTCTACACAGCTTGGGCACATCCATCGGCACATTTTCGGCATACCTTCGGCACAATATCGTAGGCATGAGATTGTTGTTAATAAAATGGGAGCACTGCTGAATAACTATCATTCAAGTTGATCAGAACATTACGTGCTGTTTGCCTGTATGTTCAGGAACATCTTCTTATTGAATATATCAGAGGAACTCAGACCAGCAGTTCCCTTATAGATCTAAATACGAAATGAAGGTTCTATAGTGGGCTCAACAGAAAGAGGCAGTTAATCAGACCTCATTAGTACCCTCAATTATAACTTAAAAACTAAAAAAGTTTATTCATAACCCTCTATAGTCGGTCTCCAACAATGCTCCCCACCGGTTCCAACTCTTTCCGGCCGAAAGGCTACGTTTCTGGTCTGCCTTTGAGGGCATTATAAAACACTAAAACACAGGACTTTTATTACCCCATGGATCACAAATCACTGAAATTTCGCACACCCGCCACTTCCCCCGTCATCCTCAATCCGATTTATCCTTGCGATTTCAAACCAAAACATTCAAGGTGTCAGAAATACCGGGTTGCCAGGATGGGTATTTTACTAACAATCGCAGTTTGCTCTTTTACCGGCACAATCGGCATACTTGCGGCACACTGACAAAAAAGATGGCCCAAGATTGGTGTGCGGAGTTACCTACCCCTAGAGGTGTTAGCTCTATTGCAGCTCCAGTTACCCATTTCAGAATGCCTGGTAATTCACGACCACTCCGAGGTCACTTTTACTTACAATAAGCCCCGCATGTTCACTCTACCTTTATCAAATGGATAATGGTATCATAAACACACTTCCATATTCAAAAAATATTATTTCCAAATCTGGCATGTATATAGTTTTGAAATTTGTTCAACTGTATTAAATCGATTTGACTGGACATTTCTAATCAATTTTGTTTCGAATACCTCTTGATTCATCTGCTGGCAGCACTTACTGGCCCTTACCGGCGACCAACTCATCTGCCCGCAAATGCAATCGAGATATGTATAAGAACAATCTTCAACTGGAACGTACTCACCAAATCAATACATCCGAGAGCAAATTCCCGATGCTTATTTTTCTCTCGCAAACCCGTCGTCGTCGAACGGCAAAAAAAGGACACTCGGTGAGCAATTTTGTGACCCGGAATTTTCACTGAACATAAACCGCGAATTCACGAATTTCACCACACCCAACTGCGAAACACGTTCAGAAGCACTTTTGGTACAATTTCGATCAATTTCTTTCGAAAACACAACAAAAAAAGTTACAAGTGAGCCAACATCAACACCAATTGTGCCGAGCTCTTTCACGCACCTTGCAGCGCGTAAATAAACTGACATTAAAAATTATCACTCGCGATGCCACTAATTTCTGGTCCGGGAGAAAATCAAACAACGCAGATCACGACATCTCTTCTGATGCTTGCAAACATGTTGAATCACGTTTTCTTTCTCTATTCTAAAACTTCCCGGAAAGCGAGAAAACTACTAATCACACACGTATAAACGTCAGGGAGGCAGAGCGCCAGCGATAATCCGGCAATTGCAGCCGAAAACTATGAGAACTTAAAACACAACCGTATCCAAAGGCGTTCGAAACTGCACCCGAACTTTAGGTGAATCATCCTGTCGCAAAAAAGCCATGCAGGAGACGGATTCTTCATCGCCTTTAACTGGTTTCGCGCATTGGTCACAGGCGGAAGTCATGCTGACTCAGTTTCCAAAAGTGATTTAGAAACAGCTGTAGAGATGCTCTAATACGCAAAGAGGAATTGGATTCTCAAGATCGCCCAATGCTAGACAGTATACACTACAATATGACTGATTAGATAACTTTTTCACTGTTTTCACAACACAAAATATGCTCTAATTAGACGATTATCGCAACGAACTGCACTTTCCACTAACAACCAGTACAATCCCTAATAAACGAGCACCATACATGAACGATACCACAAATCATGCCACCGTACCACATATTGTTGGGGTGATAACCCGAATAGGTTGTTAGGCACTCTTTATGGTTATCGTTTATGCGGGATATTACAGGTTTACCGAACGGAAAAAAACGAATAACGATAGCCCGTGTGATAAAAAATCGACAAATTTAGCAGCGCACAATAACGACGATCAGATATGATGACACTGCAGTCACTCAATGCTCTCCCTTGATTTGTTTTCTGTGCTGACCACCAATGCTACCGACGCCAGGGAGGAAGCTCCCATACCTGGACGCTACCTATCGACCCATCAACTCATGAACCGAGGACCAATGGCTTCACTTCCCTTCCGAAGGAAGGCGTGATCCTCGGCGCGATCAGAGATGTTATGCCTCAGTGTTCCCGGCAGCGTCGACTGGGATTGAACCCAGGCTTGCTGGGGTGAGAGGTAATCTCGTTTACCACTACACCGCTACTTATTTTTGTTGATGGCATTTCTTTTTTTAATAAAAGATTATTGTATTCGAGCAATCTTTATTTTACCATTGACACAAATAAGAAAATTCCGAAGTTAATAAAAAAACATGCGCACCCATTATATTTAAGTTCTAGAAATGATTACTTTTTACCGAGCTTTTTACACATTTTGCTGTAAAAACCGTTCTTGAAAAATGTGTAAAAAATACACTACTTTTGACGTTTGCTGGGTTTGCACATAAATGTGTAAACGCAGTTTACACATTTTATGGGTAGGCCCCTTTTTTCACGAAATGTGTGAAATTTTACACATTAATGTGTTTACGCTGGTTACCGTGTATGAAAGATTTTCATCTAACATAACGTAGCTCTTAGACGCCTTTAGCAATTCCATTTTCTTAAGCGTTGAAAGACGAGTGGTCAACACACGAACTCCGTAATCTCAACGTCCATGGTTCCGTTCCAGTCTGCTCCAATTTATTATTTTTTTGTCAACATTATTTTTCATAAGGCAAATCAATGAATTTCATACTGATTTCTTGTGGCAAAAAATCATAAGTGTTTCTTATGGAATTCTTACGTTCTTTTGCCTGCGTGTATAGACTGAGTCAAATCCACTCGCCGGTATTTTCAGTTGCGGGAAGAGTTTTTGTTTTGATTTTTATTCAAGGAAATGGAAATTGCCTGCTCCGGATTCATTCTACCGGAGTAAAAAACGGTTCAACACCGTTTCCCTAAGCAATTCGTACTTACCTGAAGGCATTTCAGCCGGTTTTGAGTTACATTTTATATGAGGTTTCCTGCGACATGACTGGCATTTTTTTCCAAGTCCAGGATTTTGCTGACTGAGTGGCTTTTACTCAGTTTGACATTTCTCGTTTACTCAATTTTTGACAACTCGATATTTCGGACGAAAGTGAGTACGATCGACTCACCTGGTGAGTAAGCCGAAGTTAGCGTGCGCTCAACCTAGGTAAACTTAATATACATAATGGCTTATCTGATTTTAGTGTGCACTATTTGCAAAAATGAGTCGAATTCAATTTATTTTTGTGTTTGTCTCATCGTCCGTGCTGTGTCAAATTTGGTCGCGTAACATTTGACAGGTACTGGACGACTCGTAGTTGTTTTCGTTTCTCTTCGTGTGTGGTTCATTTTCACATTCGGTACATGTGCTCTGTTTATTAATTTGTTGATTTGTCGTGAAAAGTTAATACTATTTTCGTGTTCCAGCGATGGGAAAAGCCAAGAAAACGAGGCCACACAAGGCCAAATTGAATCCGACCGGTTTGGTGGATGTAAATGCTCTTATTGACCAGGAATTGGCTAACGGCAAATCTGACTCACCGATTCAAGCCATCGTGGATCAGCTGCAGTCGGCCAGTACGGAGGACAAAATCTGTGGACTACAAACATTGGCCACCATTTGCCAGAACGATGTGAATATTGGGTCCGTGGTGGAAAGCGATATCGTACGGATCGCTGCTAGTTTGTTGATGGATCCGGATCTAAGTGTCCGTCATGCCACGGCGGGTGCTTTCCGGAACTTGTCGGTGCAGAGTGTGGAAATATGTGAGTACATGGTGGACCAGGATGTGTTAACGCCGCTGTTGGCTCTTTTGAACCAATATACGTCCTCCGCGGGAGAGTGGAAACCCACATTCGATAAAACAATGCAGGACCAGATGGATGAAAAGTCCGATACCTTCCTGCAGGCCGTCAATCTGTTGTGGAATTTGTGCGAGAGTACGTCAGTAGCGCTGGACAGCTTCAATCAATCGCAACTGCTGGAGAGCTTTGTCAGGTGTCTGGATGTTAGTGTTTATGGAAAAGAAATTGGTAAGAGCAATTCGGATAATAATTCTTGCCCTAATTTTGATCTTGAATTCCTCGAATTTCAGCTGTAGCCGTGGCCCAATGTCTGCTGGTGATCTCCGAGGATAATGCAGCATCTTGGCGGATTCTGTCAACTTTTGGCAATGAAATCTCGGCCCTGCTGTCCCAGGACGGGGACAATCCAAGTGTTTTATTACGTACTGTTGCTGCTGGCATCATCGCCAACGTTCCGGCACTTTCAGCTACTTACCTAAGTCAACTGTTCCTTGCATTATCCAAAACTCTTGAAGTCAACCATCGCACCGCATTGAATAGTGTCACAAGTTCGTTGCCATTGCTGCAGCAAAAAGATGTCGCAGATTTGGAAGTTATAGACGACGCTCAAATGGAGGAAGAATCACCGGAGCAGTCCTTCCAGAGGAGACGGCGAGCCGATATGCCATCGGAAGTTGAGCTGGATATTAGAAACGTAGGCTGGCTCCTACAGGCGCAGAGAATTGCTGCGGAAATTTTGACCAACATATGCTCAACCGAAGAAGAGGAATGGCAAGACGATATGGATGATGACAATCTGTCGGAGGCGGAAAGCGTACACGATTACGAATCCAACGGAGCCAATGCCAGTGTGCAGAATACCGACAAGTTGCCAGTAGAGGCGCTGGAGGCAATCAAATCTCTAGGTCTGGTAGAGAAATTGTGGCAAAAAGCACAACCGATAGCGGAAAATGTCGGACAAATTCTTGTTGAGAACGATAAAAATTTGTTAAAACGTGTTAATAATTTGCGCGCTTCCTCCATGCTGTGTCTCCATAATCTATGCAACAACATTTCCTCCGACGATCTGGGTGGAGCAGAAGGCATCTATCAAGTTTGGCTGGAGCTCGGACAGCAAGTTTTCCAAGGACACCAGAACCCCAAGCTGCTGGAGGCTTCCACTTCGCTCATGCGTGCCACATTGGAACATTTGCGCAAGAACCCAGAACTATTCAAACAGATGACCGAAAGCGACCTTCAATTGATGCTGAACGGTGTAAATGAGTGCCAAGATGCGGAAATCCGTGCCAACTGGCTTCGAATGTTGGGAATCCTCGGCTGCTTGTTGCCGGAACCTCTAATCAAACTGATTATAGATTTTGTCCTCACCACTAGTCTCAAAGAACAAGACATTTGGACCATTTCGGAAGCCATGGACTCGATGATGGATATTTTCGCTGATAATGATTGGAATCAAGTTGTGCACGATCTGGGCATGGTCGCCAAATGTAAGGAGTTGGATCGCAGAATGAAAGCCAAGCTGAAACAGAACAAACGGGAACTCAACGAACGCTATCCGGCTGTTTGCACCGTTCGAACCAATCTGAGCCGGTTCTGCAAGTACTTGGAAACGGAAATGAAGAAGTTCAAGCCCACCATAGAGGCTTAAAGGAAGTGATGATCCTCTGATAGGTACACTAATACAATCGCGTGAACAACCTTACCTAACAATACATATTGAAAATTCTATTGAATCCAGATTATAGTTTTCCATCTGCCTCTTTAGTCGTTATAGATGTAACAGAGATGCATTATAATAAATAAAATCTATGATTTTTTTTTGGTAGAAACTATCTTGCATGCGTTGATAACAATGATGGAGTTTTAGAGAAAGTCAGAAACCAATGTAAATGGCATCAGTAGGTAGGATAAGGTGAGGCAAGTCGGTTCATCTAGTTTATTTACTTATTTTTTTGTTAACATCAATAGTCTTCTTTCGAAGACATCAAATAAAGAACACTGGCAACTCTGCCAGAATCCAAGCGACAGATACAGTGTAGCGCTGCGCTCGAGCGAAGGTGGAAGTACTGCATAGAAAAATGAGCAAATACACAAACTTTTCTTCTGAGGTTGTAATCTTTGCTATCAAATCGTTCGAAGCATTTACCTTTGAGTGGCAGATGACGCGATTGTGTCGGTCTCATAGCGATCGTATGAGAAAATAGAATAGTTGCCAGTCTTCTTGATATTTAGTCTTTGTTTCTATACTATGAATGACACCGAATGAAACCTAGTCTAAACCACTTCAAACTAAGGAATAACGAATAGAAAATTAGGAATCACATTGATGAATACTAAATCATTTTTTCTTGTTTCAAGATCATCCTCGGTGGGCAAAGCCGAGTCTTGTCACTATCAATAAGGCATAACAAGTAACAAGGACGAAGATGTGTTCCTTTGATTATTGAAAAATCCTGTTCCCTTAGTTTGAAGTAGTAAGGACTAGGAATCGGTGGTAGATCTTACATCTCGTAACGTACCACGAAAAGGTACCTGGTACCATATTGGCTACCCACTTTACGGGGCCAATTTATGCTTAGAGTAGACTGCCCATAAAAGCATAACTGTCCCATATGAATAGGAAATCAAGCAAAGATGGGACAATTATGCTTTTATGGGCAGTAGAGCTCTACTCTACTTTAACTATATCAGTGCTTTTAACGTGCACAAATCAATAATACTTTTTTTTTCGCTACTACAGCTACAAAAAATATAAGAGCATGAAATATGAATATTTACAACAATTGCGAAAGAATCCAATGTCATTTCAATGCGTCTGGACAGAATTGAACTTGGTATAACGTAATTGGAATCAAGAAGCAGTGTTATATTTTTAATAATATCTTAACCAGTTTTTGCCTTGCTATCAAATTTATCGGTACGTAGGGAAAGGTAAATAAATTTAGAAGTACTTACCTTTAGTGGTACATTCAATTTATTTAATCAAATCCACTTGAAAAAGAGAGGTAAAGCGCGAGTTGTGTTGAATAGGACGGAAATAAGTCCAAAAATTAGTTAAAGAAGCTGGTGATCTTCTGACATGACCTTTCAACTGGGCTGTCGTGTTACAACCAAATCTTACAAGCATTTAGATTGTTACTTGGGCAGTGCTACTTCCATTAACTTTGCATTATGGAGTCATAAGATATTATAATGACATTTTGTATTTGTAAATTACAATAAGGTGTAGTGGTAAGCGTGATTACCTCTCACCCCAGCAGGCCTAGGGGAACCACTGGACTAGGGGGTTAGTCCCTAAATAAGCCAACTTAGCGGTTGGTACAGCGTATACACTGAACAATTACAATTACAATAAACCAAAATTGCAACTTTTAATTACTCGGCTACTAATAAGTTCCAGCATAATTCTGCCAACAGAGATGCCAACTTTTTTCCTGCATACCAAGCTTCAAATGGTGCAGCAATCTGATGGAATCTTTCGCCGTGTTCATCGGTTTCGGTGCTCAATTGTTTTTCGAGTTGATCGAGATGGCAATGCAGGAAATGGATTTTTAGGGACGTGCACATTTATATCGTTGAGCGCGATTATCATACTCTCAATAATTGATCGGAATCTTGGAGACCGATTTGTTCCAAGACAATTATGAACCACATCTTTAACGCATCTCCAGGCAACTTGTTCCTTTGGCAAAATATTGTTTTCGAAGACTGCACTCTTCTCGATTGTATGACATTCCCCCGAAAGCCATTCCCCAGAATGCCATTCCCCAGAACGGACTATTCCCAATAAAACCATTCCTAAGAATACACCATTCCCCAGAATGTACAATTCCCCAGAAAAGTATGCCATGTATTAGAATGACTATTTTTGTTTATTATAGTCACTCCTGGAATCTTCTTTTGGGGGGGCAGCCTAAGGGTTTCAATGGATTTGTAGACTGGACAAGGGTTCGTGGATTTGCCAGTCCCTTGTCACGTGTTGATAGACGTACATCTTGTCGTTTGTCTTCCAAAGGTCTTCAATGAAGTTGATTCACCCTGCTGCAACAAACCATCAGGCAGAACTTTACAACCAGTGAAGTATCTGCAGTCAGGTCATCCTTGCACTGATGGTGGGTTCTATTCACATCACATCACATCATTATAGTCACTCCTGGAATCTTCTTTCGCGTATATAAAAAGAATAGAAAAACTTCTTAATGGATCAAGGCGTTTTCCTTTCTCTGAAAATATAAGAAAAGGAAATAATTAATTCTTTGGATATACGATAAAGAAGGGAATATACTCTTCTTTTAATATATGAAAGAGAACATGATTATTTCTTTAAATCTTATATATATAAAAATGAATTTCTGTCTGTGTGTCTGTCTGTCTGTCTGACCCTTATAGACTCGGAAACTACTGAACCGATTGGCGTGAAAATTTGTATACAGGGGTTTTTGGGGCCGTGGAAGGTTCTTATGATGGTTCGAGACCCCTCCCCCTTCTGTAAGGGGGGGCTCCCATACAAATGAAACAGAAATTTCTGCATAACTCGAGAACTAATCAAGCAAATGGAACCAAATTAGGCATATGGGGGCGAGTGTGGGGGTATAAGGAGAAAATCATAGGGGTTAGCCCCTTAGATAATAGGGGGGGGGGCTACGTACAATATAGCATGCTTTTTTTAAAATCGGCGCATAAACTCAAGCTAATATTGAATCCCGAGCAAGACCGGGCACACTCAGATAGTATATGATAAAGAAGGGAATATTCCCTTCTTGGAAAATATAAGAAAAGGAAATAATTAATTCTTTTTATAAACGATAAAGATGGGAATATTCCCTTCTTTTAATATATAAAAGAGAACATCATTAATTCGTTTAATATATAATAAAGATGAGAATATTCTGTTCTTTGAAAATTTAAGAAAAGAAAATTATTAATTCTTTGGATATACGATAAAGAATGGAATACTCCCTTAGTCTCTACTTTAAATATGTAAATAATATGAAAAAGAAGGGAATATTCCCTTCTTTGAAAATATAACAAAAAGAAAGAATTAATTATTTGGATAAACGATAAAGAAGGGAATATTCCCTTTTTTGAATATATAGAAGAGAACATCATCAATTCGTTAAATATATGATAAAGAAGGGAATAATCCCTTCTTCGAAAATATAAGAAAAGGAAAAAAATAATTATTTGGATAAACGATAAAGAAGGGAATATTCCTTTCTTTGAATATATAAAAAGGAAAATAATTAATTCTTTGGATGTATGATAAAGAAGGGAATATTCCCAACCTCTATGATATTCCCTTCTTTGAATATATAAAAGAAAACATCATTAATTCGCTAAATTTATGATAAAGGAGGGAATATCCCCTTCTTTGAAAATATAAGAAAAGGAAATAATTAATTCTTTGGATTAACGATAACGCAAGGAATATTCCCTTCTTTGAATATATAAAAGAGAAAACCATTAATTCTTTGGATGCATGATAAAGAAGGGAATATTCCCTTCTTTTAATACATAAGGAAAATATATAATCAATAGGTCGTATGAATAAAAGCGTTTACTTTACTTTCCCCGTAAGAAAAGCACGGGAAAGTAAAGTAAACTCTTTTTATTCATACGGCCCATTAGCTTTTCGCAAGGGATTCGGGGTAATGACCATTTGGGATAATAACGAGTGGAATAGTTTTATAAATTTGTAATCGGTAGTTCAACCGGTAGTTGCACCGATTTTTAATCTATGGCGAGAAATTCTTCAACTCAGGTCGAACAATTCTTCGATAAGGTTTAACAGTTTCCGACTGGTTGAATTGGATTGCATAATAGACCCTTTGACTTATTAAATGATGAACGAAGTGCTCGAAAACTTGAAGGTTGTCATTTTATAAAGAGCTAAAAAATGGTTTGGAATTGATAAATACATAGTTCCATAAAAGTAAACATAGTAGGGGTATTCACGTAGGGTCGTATTATTAACTAAGCGTATTTGCTAAAAGTTTACCACTGCTTGTATGTGAACGAACCATGGTAACATTGCTATGTTTGGATGCGTAAAGTACGGACTGTCAAAATCATCTGCCATGACTACCACTCGTGCAAAAACAAATTAGATGCCGGCTTCTGTTTACAGTTTTGTTGACGTACGGCGCGAGCGGCACGAGAAACGAAACGAAATGCGAGAAACGAAGGGTGCGCTGATTTTGTTACGGTCATGACATTAATAAAATGCAGCAATTATGTTTTGAACTAATTGAGAAGTTTATTCAATTGCAAAATTGGATTTAATTTTTAAAGTTTTCTTTTCGCTTGATAACATATTTCCTGTCACATAAAACGAAGAACAACAACATCATGAACTCACCATTTTATGTTGGTGATTTATTAATGGAAAAAATACATTTTAGAACCCCTCAGACGTGGTATTCTAAAAAGACGTAAATGAATACACATCAAAATCGAGGAGTATTGACAGACAGCCCTCGTAAGTCTTTTTCCTTTGAAAATAAAACGAGCTCGTAAACATTTGGGTATATATACACGGTATACAAGAAATACACTAAATACCATACGCTACGTGAATACCCCTAGTGTTTTATCAATAGTAAAAAAAGAGAAGTGAAAATTTCTAATTTCATCATCTTTTCTGGGGAATGGTACATTCTGGGGATTTTTTCTATTTATTTATTTATTTCGTCAACCAACGTAGACTAGTACAATTAATTAATACAGTTTTGTTTTCTTAAATATATATTTATATAAAAAAGTAGTGTCAGCTTTCTTGTCTTTTCTTTTATGAGTTGTTATTTCTTATGGAATAAAAATATTGCTTTAGTTT